TTTTCATTGTATTGGATGAATGATGAACCCTATCGTTTGTTTATTTTAATTCAAGACAATTAATTTAGTATTTCATGATTTTTTCTTGATTGGTTTTGCATTCCCATTGAACTATTTAATTGTTTGGTCACCAATTAGATAGTAAGTTGTTTGTTGTAGTGTTGGAATGCTCACAATAAGTCTAGAACGCAGTAAAATCAACATATGGACAATATGTGTTAAGAATAATATCTATGGCATGTGCAACCATGTGTGATAAATCCTATGAATCAATGCATGTTTTTCATATGAATTCGGATTAGGAATAGGATTAGGTCGTGTTAAACATAGGTTTAATATATCTTGAAAAATAATATTAAATAAAAGTGGATTATCGATTGTCTTGAATGCATAAATTAAGAGTTGAATTAAATGACAATAGGGGGATTCATGATTCCAATACAAATATTCACATTTTTTTGCAACATTCTCTCCCTTAAACTTTCTAAATGACCCTTTTAGCTAAATTTAGGCCGATGACTCCTAAGTCAGTTGACTTTAGGACACCAGATTTTAACATCCTTACAGGCTTAATAACTCGAATCATAAAGACTACGAAGAGAAATTTTCAAATAAAATATATATGTATATTTTTTTTAACATATGTAAACAACGCATGAAAACATACGAAAATAAAAAACACAAAGTGTTTCCCATTTTTGTGTGTGTTTTATTGTTTTAAAAATTAAAAAAATACAAAAAGATAAAAGAAAATGTTGCTTGGGCTGATTTTCATACATACAACACATACAATTTGGCAGTGAAAAGGAGATACAGGGATATACCGGCACTGGAGGCTGATTTATATATATTTTTACACGCCAATTAGGGAAGAAATTGGAGAGTTGCTTGGGGGAATAGAGGGCTGAATTTATATATCTTCTTGCTGAGAAAAAAGACGGCAATTGGTGGAGTGATACGGAGAAAAAAAATGGCGGCTGAAATCGGGCTGCCTTGCTGAGTTTATATATATTAACATCACTGTACTGGAGAGAAAAGGCAGCTGAAATTGATAGAAATTGGAGTCAAACATTGAGGCTGCTAGGGGATGAATTTGGAATCATTTTGGAACTAAAAAGTGAGCGGCAGCTTGTAGATACACACCGAGAACGGCGATTGCAATTTTGATAATATATATATTAATCACGTTTCATCAATTTCTCGGTGATGTCGTCTAAACTTTCTTTGTTTAATTCCAATTTTATGCAAGGCTAAATTCTTCTCATGTATTAGACGAAGATGAAACCCATTATTATTTATTTTTAATTCGAGTTACATGACTTAGTTGAATTCTTGCAATTATTGATTAATCTTGTATGCTTAATTTCATTATTTGATTGATTGATCACCAATTAAATATATGGTTGCTTGTTGTTGTGTTGGAAAATTTACAATAGGTTTAGAACACTACACGATTAACATATGTGCAATAAATTTTAGGAATAAGATTTATTACGTTTGCAATCTTTGAGATAATTGTGAAATTGAATGCGTTATATTCATATGAATTCGGATTAGGAATATGATCGGGTCGTGAATAGGATGGATTTAATTTGTCTTGGAAAGGAAAATTAATTACAATAGAACTACCGATTGTCAAGAATGCAAGATCGAAACTAGCTACGTAGTCGAGAATTGGAGTAGATAATTATAGGTGGATTCGTAATCCAATACATTCTTCCCATATACATTTTAAATTCGTATTTTACACGTTTTCGTAGATTAAATTAAAATAATTAAAATTCACAAAAATCACTTTTAATTTATTTGCTTTGGATCTAATTAAGACTAGTACACTCAGTTAAATTTTATTCCTCGTGGGACGGTACTCTAACTAATCACAATTATTACTTGTACAACGAACCCGTACGCTTGCGGGATTTTTACGAACAGATGACTGAATAAAACTTACACTTTTCTTATTATTACAGAAACAAACACCAAACACCACTTATTTCTTATTACACTACAATCTAACGAAGCCTGAAAACCAACTATGGTTAGAAATAACATTTAGTTGCAAACTTTTCTATGGACTGAAACACCTAGGCTTTCACTCATGTCCAAATCCTCTCCTTTTGCTCCATTAGGCAATTCCCAATCAAACGAAGCCTGAAAACCAACTATAGTTGTAAACTTTTATATGGACTCAAACGCCTAGGCTTTGACTCATGTCCAAATCCTCTCCTTTTGCTCCATTAGGCAATTCCCAATCAAATTTCAGAATAGTATTTGTCAACACAAGTTCGTTAGTTGCCATTGTGTAAGAGATCCTTGGATAACCTCTCCGACCAGCCCCAAAACGGATCAACTGGAAATCGAGTCCTTCGATATCTTTCTGTGAATTCAAGAATCTCTCTGGCCGAAGCTTTTTTGGTTCGTCCCCGTAATTAGGGGCTCGGCAAATGGCCCATGCATTGGTCATGACCATCGTCCCTGCTGCAATGTCATAGCCCATTACATTGACATCTTTTCTTGCTTCCCGAGCGATCACTAATGGGATTGGGGTTTGGAATCATAGAGTTTCCTTCACTGCACTTTCAAATAATGCATTTTTTCTAAGTCAGCATTTGTTATGTCCTGAGAATTCCCCTCACCTCAATTTGCAACTTTTTCATGACTCTTGGGTGCCTGAAGAGCTCTGTCATTTCCCATTCTAGAACTACGGATAAAGGGATCTGTTCCAGAGCAAAGACATCCTAAAATAATCAAGAATGTTGAAAAATGTAATATTTAACATAAAGTTCATAGCTTTCAAGCATTTGCACCAATTTTTTTGGCAGCTAATTATAAACAAATCAGTTCTTTAGTACTATAATATTCTTTACGCGAAACAACACTTCAGTGATTAAATTAACTAAAAACCCACAAAAGAAGCAACCCAATACAATTTAAACTCACAATAACTTCCAATTTAGCGGGTGTTTGACACCCATTTTTAGGGAAAAATGAATTTTAGAATAGTAGATTGACGGAGAATATTTGGATGAAAAATAAGGAGTTTTTTTTATTTACGTGTAATATTATTTTAATGAATAATGTGTTGTTGAAAAAAAGAGAGAGAAAAATGCATTTTAAAAAAAATGGGAATAAAACGGGACTTTAATAAGACCCATCAAATATTACCCACGCCCGTATGATAAAATTTTATGTACATGAATATAAAAGAAGGTATAAAATTACTTGCTGGGCCTTCAAAGTAGTTTTACAAAAGTGAAGATACCAAGTGTGTTGACAAAATGTAGGCCACTGATTTGAAATGATTTAAAAATTTGTTTTTGAAATTATTGGTGTTGATGTTATTTTGTAAACCAATTTTGTAAGTGTAGCATGACTCTAGAGATTTTCCTATTGGGAGTTTGACGGGGTTATAGGGTCTGTTGTATAGGCCTGAAGAATGCCCATTTTTTGAGAACTTGTAGAGAAGAAAATCTGGGTTTTGCAGTTGATGACGGTGATAATACATTCAAACTTTCCATGTATGTAAAATCTATCCTGGAAATGAAACTGGAATTCACTATATGTGAGTCTCTGTGTGTGGAGATTGTGATGAATTTTAAAAATCATTTCCTCGATCAAGATTTTAATGGAAAATTTAGGTGTCCCAATTGAGATTTTAATTAAATTCAATGAAATTTTTTAAAATTTAGGTATCCTCAATTATTAGTAAATTTTTAAAGATTTTATAAATAGATCGAGGGATTTTAAAAAATTTTGATGATTTAAAACTTAAAAATAAATCTAATCAAATCTTTTGAAATTTTACCATATTTAATGAGATTCTTATGAAATTTGTAGAAATCTATTTAAATTAACAAAATTAATTAGGATCATAAATTTTTAAACTTCATCAGAATCTTAGTTGAAGACACCCTGTTATAGTTAAAGGGACAGAATGGAGACTATTTTTCTTCCGGCAACGATAGGGTGGTGTCAATGCATTACAGTCGCATTGGTCTAGAAATTACGGAAAGGAATCGAAGTTTGGGTAAAAACCAATCGAGAAAAGGTTAGGACAAGATCGCAAGTTTAGGCAAAGGTTAGAGACCGAATTTGCAATTTATGCTAAACAAAACTTTTCTTGAATTATTGGGTCATGATTTAGCTGCACATTGCTTCTTTTCTTTTTCTCCCTTTCTCTTCACTATTTCACCGAGGGTTCAAACCCTTGGTTAAACTCTTACCTCTGCTAATTTATTAAAAAAATTGTTGCAGGTGCGTTTCTATGAAAAAATTGTTTGCATCCGATGAATATGCTGAACACAAAATGAAGCCCATGTTTGGTTTGGCTAAAAATCAATTGTTTTAGTAGAATTTTATAAAGATTGATGAAATTGGTGATTGAAAATCTGATAAAAGTTGCGAGTATAACAAAATCTATGAATAAAAATGAATTAGACTAAAAAAAAACTGTCTCCTGCATAGATCATGTATTGATATATACTATAACTATAAGATACTCCCTTTTCGCGGATTACTGCATTTATCCGAGTGATTCACAAATGACGAAAATTTCTCTTTTGTTCATCCATATCCGGATGAGCCGAAACCAAAGCTCTTATTTTCTATTGAGTGGTAGTTCGAGCAAGTCTTGAATAAGCCCCTTGAAAGCTTGATGCTAATAAACGAATTTTTGTTCTCTGTCTCTAAGCTATATATCCGCGTTTAATTCTGGGCATTAATAATGTTAAAAATTTGGACCCAAACAATAGCTAAAAACACATGATTCATTAAGGTAAACATGAGATAATCGGAGCCTCACATCACTCATTAAGTGCTGCCGACAGCCAGGAATCACTATTATCAGGGTTGCTTTGCAATGGCATTCGACAAGTAGTTAATTTTATAACTGTATACATTTTTATTTGCATGATATATAAGTCTATTCCGACGAATTATATATTTCATAAATTTTAAATGTAATATTAAGTAATAATGGAATAAAAGTGAATACATTGTCCTAATTGAAGAATCAAGTAAACTATAATACATCACGATAAGATACAAATATACAATCCCAGCATAAAAACGATGGTTCCCCAATTTATTTTGTTGTGCGAGTGCGTGCGGGGTTGTGTAAAAAGCATAAAGAATTATGAATGTTTAGTTTATGGTAGAAACTGTTATTTCCATCACGCTGCATGAAACTCATATGGATCAGAGATAGCATTGAGTCGCAACAGCAAAAAGAGGAACTTTTCTATGGATTGAAACACCTGGGCGTTCACTCATATCCAAATATCCGCCCTTTGCTCCATTAGGCAATTCCCAGTCAAATTTCTGAACAATATTTGCCAGAATGAGTTCGTTAGTTGCCATTGCGAATGAGATTTCTGGACAACCCCTTCGACCAGCCCCAAACGGGATCAACTGGAAATCGAGTCCTTTAAAATCTATTGATGAATTTAAGAATCTCTCCGGCTGAAACTTCTGTGGTTCTTTCCAGTAAAGAGGGTCTTGGCCAATGGCCCATACATTGGTCATGACCATTGTACCTGCTGCAATGTCATAGCCCATTACCTTGACATCTTCTCTTGCTTCCCGAGGAACCAGCAGTGGGATTGGGGTGTGAAATCTTAGAGTTTCCTTCAGGACAGCTTTCAAATAATGCATTTTCTCCAAGTCGGCATCTGTTATGTCATGATTGCCATTGAGAACTCCCCTCACCTCATTTTGCAACTTTTTCATGACTATTGGGTGCCTTAAGAGTTCTGTCATTGCCCACTCTAGAACTGTGGATGTGGTATCAGTTCCAGCAGCAAACACATCCTGAAATAATCAAGAAAGTTAAAAAACTTAAGGCTAAGAAAATTAATAGTCACCTAAACTTTCGGATGAAGTGATTCAATCGAAGTAGACAAAAGTCTTGACTTCAAAGTCCATTACCACCTAGGAAGCTATGCTCGTGTCAAACCTCTAAGGGTCTTAAGCACGAGAAACTTCTATGTATATGTTTCTTTCAATGACAGTTTTAGCTTTTAAATGAAGTTGTTCAATTTTATTACGATTATATGCGAGGGAGGGGTGCTTACCAAAATTATGGCTTTGATACCATCTCTATCAATGGATACACCAGTGGTATTGTCCTGGTAAATCTTAAGCAGAATATCTACAAAATTCTCTTTACTTTCATCCTTTCCGCTTGAATTTTCCATATCCCAGTGTTCTTGAATCACTCCTTCAAGAAACTCATCTAGTTCTTTAGCAGCAAAATTTACTCTGGCATCGAAACCACTAACACGATTAATCCACGCCAGCCATGGAATGAATTCCCCAACACTGATAGTCCCCAAAAGTCCCAAAAATTCAGTAATCAGCTGCAGAAATTTCTCCCCTGTCGCCCCGTCCCTGTATTTCCTACCGAAAGCCGACCTACAAACGACGTCGTTTGTGATTGCCGTAAACAAATCACTCATATTCAATGGCGATGAAGAAAGACACGATTCCTTAATTTTTTCCATCATCAAGGCCGTTTCTTCTTCCCTTATAGCATGGAATGATTGTACCTGTTATGGACAGAAATGCACTGTTAGAAAATCTTATCAAGTCACTCCAAGCAATTCTAAACTCTTTTAAGTTCTCTCAGTTTTTATGCACTGTTGAGCATCTTTGGCCTAGAATAACGTCGTTTTTGCTTATTTCCGGCAGTATCAAGAGTGGTATTGCTGAAATAAACAGCTTCTTGTACAAAAGGAGCAAGGGTCAATCAAGCTGGAAACGCTAGAGTCAGGCCTGTCAACGAAAATGACATCATAGGTTTTCATAATTTCCCTGGCGGCGTCCGCCGATGAAACGATAAGCGTCGGAACATTTCCAAAGTGGAGAAGCATTAACGGGCCGTATTTTTTGGACATGGATTGAAGGGACTGGTGTGGGAGCGTGGCGATTTGGTGGAGATTTCCGATAATCGGGAGTTTCGGCGGCGATGGCGGCAGATTTTTGCTGTTTGTAGTGGCCGCCACCCTTTTGACGAATTGCCATTCAAGAAATATACTGATAAAAGTGAATATAAATGGATTTTGTAAAAGAAATTCAGCCATTTGGTGCTTAAAACTATACTTTCTGATTGTCTGTACTCTGTTTTCTGTCCCTGAACTGTATGAGGCTCCTCTATATATACAGACAGGAATGCGCGTAATAAGACTGCATGCTTGCTTTGCTATACACTATTACAATATTTTAACCTTTTTTTTATACAATTTTTCAATCACACATTTACCAAAATTTATTAAAAGATCTGATTTTAATCCACACTAAACAGAGACTTAGGGGGTATATTCAATTAGGACTTTTACAGACTTTGGGAGATTTAAGAAGTTTCGGTGTATTCAATTGAGGCTTTTAAAGACTCTAAAAGTCTGAGTGTATTTAATAGAGACTTTTAAAGAATTTTAAAAAGTCTTATAAGTTACAGGGTATTCAATTGAAAGTTTTTATGAGTCTCTACAAGTTTCGAGGTATTCAATTAAGAAGGATTTTCGGAAAATTTATAATTTATTAGACTTTGGGAGACTTTTAGGTAGAAAATATGGATAGAATTTTCAAAGGAAAATCTCTCATCCATCGAGAGATTTCTCAATTGAAGCCGGCTCTTCTATTTCCTTCTAGGGTTCTCCTCCATCTCCTTCAATCGGTAATAATTGAACTATTTTCCTGTTAGTCTCTGGAAAGAGGTACTCTTGAAAACTCATAATGTTAATGGAATTTGGTAACAGACGATTCTCAGTTTGTGTGTGATCAGTTTGGCTGATTTTGTATTTTGCCTGTACAAAAGAGATCCATAACGTGTTCTGGCCAGAATTTCAGCCTTCAAAGGTCAAAGCCTGCAAATTCCTGTTTTTGCACTTTGGGTAATATTTTATTATTACCTTTGGTTTTTAATTTGCCTGCATCCACATGGGCTGTTCGGCCAGTTTAATAAGAACTTGATCAGTTTTGCTCAAATGAAAGGGGCACTTTCAAGGGTGGTTGTTTTTGGCAAGCAACTTGTTCAGACTCCCCTTACAGATCAGCTGCCTGTCTCGTCTAACTTCAGGCAAGCGCTTCACCAACCGGCTGCTTTGATTCCCAGTCAAAGGTCTTCAAGCCAGCCTGTTTCGTCCTGCTTGATGCATTATATTTCAGGCTTCAGCTGTCTGATTGTTTGGATTCCATCAATAGTTTGATAATTCGTGTTCTAGATTGGCCAAGTTTGTAATATTTTGAATTATATTTCGTCACTTGGTATGGATCGCTAGATTATTAGATCTTTGTAATGTTCTGCTTTGAATGTCCGAGTATGCTCGAAGTAGTTGTACTCAGTTTTGATCAATACAAATTTATTTACCTGATCAAAAAGAAAAAAAAAAAAAAAGAAAAAGAAAAGAGATCCATAACTTGTATACCGGGCAATACGAACTAAAAAATGAATGGATAAGTTAGTAGTCATTTTCAACATTGGCATTTCCTACCTATCAACATTTCTTGGCAGTAATCTAATCTTTATCGCTAATTCTATTAACTTGGAGGGATATTCTATTGTGACTGTTATCACTGTCCATAGAACTACCAGAATGGTAATTTTGTAAAGCGGGCTGATAGTACTGATTTCTTCTTATCAGCGTTGTTATTGGCATTTCAGAAGCTCCAACTTGACCTGCTATTGTAAGGTTTTATACTTTTATTTGTTATTCTGGATGATTTATGTGCCACCATTCTTCATCTTTTAGCCATAAAAGTATATTTAGTGGATGGGTTATTTGCAACAAGAACTCAACTTAAATGTTTGGTTGGTAAGAAATGTAGTTGGCAATATTTTTAACTTCTAAATTGGTATAGTAAGCATGAACTTGATCACAATTCACGCTTGATGTGGAAAATAGTTTTTTCCTCTTCAATGCAACAATTACTAAAATACTATTATTTTTTTAATATTTTGATTATTTGTTAATCTACTTGATATAACTTGAATTTTTTTTTTTGGAAAAAAAATTGGCACGGAAAATACGATTTATTATTTTACATTTTCAATTATATGAGTTGTGGACGATTTAAATATAAAAAAAGTTGTTAAACATATGACATTATATATGTTTAATATTTTCTTTTAAAAAAAATAAAAAGTCTTCAAAAATTTTTAAAAGTCTCTAGTAAAAGTCTTCAGAAATCTAGGAAAAACTTTTACTAATTCCTACCAAATCCATGGAAATCACTTAAAATTTCACAAAGTCAATAAAAGTCACATACTTTAAAAAGTCTCCAAAAGTATTTAAAAGTTCCAATTGAATACATATGCCTTCTAAACCTATTTTATTTAGACTGGTTTGATGTAATTTTTTTCTTTAAAAGTAAAATTTGAATAATGTTCGATTAAAATGTAAAAAAAATAAATAATAATAATAATAATAATAATAATAATAAATTATGAATTTATATGTAAAATTATTTTATTATGAGAACGTGTCATTAAAAATAATTATTAATTATAATAGGTGCCCAATTTAACTTATTCTGTTGGGGTCAAGCCCCCCACTTTAAAATGTCTACATGTATTTATGAAAAAATTGTCGCAAAAACCTAACGTTGGATGTGTATGTTAAGTGGTAATAGATGAATAAATAGATATTTGGGCTAATAGTTTAATTACACTCAGGCATGACTTGTAAACATCGAAGGATAAATCTATTTGTACAATTATTTTGTACAACATTATTGACGGTGTTGTAGTAGTCAAAAAAGAATTGGTCGAAAAATTGAATTATTTTTAAAATTGTTCAATGTGGCATGTTATCAATAATGTCGTCAAAATAATTTTATACCAAGCACGATTGAACATCAAATTGGTGAATGGCAATAAAAATTAATTTATCGGAAAAAGTAAGACCACCTATTTTCAATCACATATTTTTGTTAGGTTCCATTTTTTCAACGAAAATATCTTTATTAGAAATTTCTCTTACAAAAGGAAGAAAAACTATGTGATTAATATTTATATAACTTAACAATTTTTTCAAACTTTGTCCAACTAACTATTTTAGATTTTGGTTTTGTTATCACATTTTTATTAAGTTTTGATAAAGTTTGGACTTGTTAAAATTATTTTTTGACTTTAATTTAGATTTTTATTAATTTTCTACTACTGCTGCTACTACTGCTATTACCGGTACTGTTACTGGTACTGCTGTTACTCCTACTCCTCCTCCTCCTCCTCCTACTGTTGTTACTGTTGCTGCTGCTGCTGCTACTACTATTACTACTACTACCATGACCACCACTACCACCACCAGTAGTAGTAGTAGCAGCAACAACAACAGTAGTAGTATTAGTATTAGTAGTAGTACTGCTACTACTGCTACTGCTACTGCTACTTCTACTGCTATTGCTATTGCTGCTGCTACTACCACGAGCACAACCACCACCACCACCGTCACCACCACCACCACCACCACTAACAAGAAAATGATATTATGCTTAATTCTATTCTTTAAAAACTCAAATTATCAAAAAGGAAATCGTCCAATTTCTTGAAAAGACAATATGTAACAAGAAAGTAGCTATAGCTTCTTAAAAGTCCATTATCAATTAATATTTTCCTAGTTTAACCAAACTATTAATTTATCCAGAATTAATGACGAATGAATGGATAGTAACACGCAAAGAGTCCTCTACGTCTATTACAATGGAACTAGTCCATACTTGATTGCATTTGATTAATATTAATATTTTTATTTTTATCATTATCGAATAAGTCGAAATTATGGTTTAAAATCCGAACTTCCCTCTCTCTCTCCCTTTTTAAAGAGTGTTTGTACAGCACCCTTTAAATAATGATAAAAATAAAAAATATTAATATTAATATTTTTATCTTATTGGATAAGTTGAAATTGTGGTTTAAAATCCAAGCTTCCCTCCCGCTCCTACCGTCGAAATTGTGGTGTACAATCCTTTCACATGCAAGGGGCTGTACACACCAGCCTAATTCAATAAAAATTTCACATATGGACAAAGAGTTCCATAAATCAAGTAGGTGGGAGCCTGAGGGGGTTGGAAAACAAATAGACGAGACATGGGAGTTGGGACCTGATATACAAATTTAAGAAACATAGACAAAAGGGGACAAATTATTTTATCAGTATTCTCAAGGAAATAGGATGTTGACTGAATCACAAATCCCCCAATTGATTTTAAGAATTAAAATTTCATCACACGCTTTCTTGGTTGATATTTTTCTTAAATCTTTTGCCTCTTAGTGTTTGTTCATTTCTGTGTCCAGGCAGCTCAATTTGCGTCTCGGTTGACTTGATAGCGTCCCTCTTCGAGCAGCTGCTTCTTTATTTGTCCGTCCCGGTTGACTTGATAGCGTCCCTCTTCGGCAGCTGCTTCTTTATTTGTCCGTCCGAATTTTTCTCCAACTAACGGAAATTGAAAAAGGAGACGAAGAAAAATGAATCGATTAAGAAACATTAAAAACATGGACTAGAATTTGCCATGCATTTCAGACTTTAGATTAAAATGTTTTAAATCTTGTATGAATCCTTCAAACATGGAGTGTAGATGTTAGTTCACATTTACATCTAGCCCATGTTTTGAAAATTTTTATTTTTATTTTTACTTTTATTATTATTATTTTTCAAATCTTACGCATTTTATGAAATCTATAACTATAATCAATTTCTCAATCATACATTTCATCATTTTTATTAAAAATTTGATTTTATTTTATCTAAACTTGTTAAGTTCGCAATAAGTTGGGTCATTCTCGTCTCACCTTTCTATCCTTAATCTGAACTTACAAGACAGGTCCATGGCCACCTCTATTAGCTTACTCCCTGCCCAGAATCATTAAGAGCTGGTTTTGCTGATTCATTTTCTTTAAGTTACGTATTTCACATAGCCTGGTTAGTACACATGCGATCAATTATCGACGAGGCATTATATCCCAAAGTATGATTTCTTGGCGTGGAAGTTGTGATGTCATTTTATAGAACTTATCGTTTTTCTAATTTCTTCTTTAATCGAGTGTGAGAGATTATCTTTTGATTTACCACAAGCAGAAGAGTATTTAATAGCATATTATCAAACTGACAACACCTCAACACAAACTAATATTGTCCAAATCAAGAGGGAAGGGAAAGCAAACATGCTATGCCTCGTCCTACGAAACTCTTGCTATTTACCATGTGGAATTCATTTAGGAAATAACAAAAGGTCACTTAAGGTCACACTCCAAATCACTTTGCTTACATGGCCTAATTAACCGAGACTATCAAGAAAGGAGGAAGGGGAGTGAATTGTCCCTCAGCTATCTAACCTCCATGTCTGAAATGAAGCTCCACGCGCTATTGCAACACATTTTCAAAGTAAAGTGCCTTCGTTCTAGAAGGCATCTTCCATTGCTTCGTTCAAAAGATCAAAAATGATTGGTGTACAATTTTTTTTTTTTTTTTTTACAGAATGTGTACAATCTCTCACAAATATATGAGTCTCACGTGAATAAATAATGTTAAAAAATTAACTCACCCTCCTCCCCCCACCCCCTATGTGAGGTGTTGGTAAGGGTTCTACTCTGTACACCTATCATCACCCTCAAAAGATCTTTCATACAAGAACTTTTGTACATTTGATTATTGATTGATTTGACATTTCTGTGTAGACGTTTCTAAATTAACTTTTCAGCCTACTTTTTAGATGATAGATCTAGACTATAAGGTGACCATTTTTTAGATCATCTAATTCACTTCAACCATAGGACATTAGAGGTGATGATTGTGAGGCTGATGCATCGATCACCAAGACGAGGACATGTATCATTCATCCAGTGATATTGATATCTCATTTTCTAATATAAAGCTCACAATTGGTATCACGTGATTTACATGTGATACTAATTTACACCCTCCACATTCACTTAGCTTGGTAATATTATTTCTCTTAAAATTTGATTATTGTACATGTGACTCTTGTTCATTGTCCATCCTACATCCAAATATATCCATATAGTTGACTAACTTGATCATCGTAGTGTCCGTGATTGTATCCCCCACCGATAGAGAAGGACACATGCACTTAATGATATGTCCAAGTATGCAGGAGTTTGACACATTTACAAGAATGAAATCGAGATTTATTGACCACGCTGTCCAAAAAAAAAAAATTGAGGTCAACAAAACATATATCCGCAAAATGTCTTTTTGAGCCCTATTTTTAGCAAAGAATGCATTTTAAAATTGTAAATTGATAGATAATGTGCAGTTAAAAAATTTAAATTTTTTTGTTTTGCGTGTAATATCA